TAATTTAATGGTTATCTTATGTGCTCATTTAATTATCCAATCAATTCATCTTCACCATGATTTATTTTGTTTAACTAATCGACATTCTCTTAGCATCCTACATGTCATATCGTGTTTTGCATTTAGGTTCGGATAAAAAATTTGAAAATAAAATTGTCTTAGAAAGTATCATATATAATTTTTCCACCATACATTATTGTCTCCATCAATCTTTCTTTCATTAACAAATTTCTCTTCAATTTAAAGATGACACAAATCTTTATTTCCTTATTTTATTTTACTAAATATTTATCTCATTCATTATATTTTCTTATTTTTTCAAGTTGATAAATTTTAGTTTGTTTCTGAGTCTGCCGTCTTTCTTTGTGTAATGAATAATGTTGAGCTAAAAATTGTATAATATAATTAATATTAACTAAACACGTCACTTATCTCAATTCTAATCAATTTTAGCCCTTATCTTATTTTTTCAAGTTGATAAATTTTAATACATTCATCATTTTTTTTTCTCAAGTTGATAAATTTTAAATAGAACTAAGAAGGTTGTTACAAAGAAATTTTTGAGAACCATTTATTTATTTATTTTGTATATACTTGCAATAATAAACTCTTTTACTTTTTTATTCAAATTATTTTTTTCATGCACCCGTGTAACACACGGGTGTCGTACTAGTTAGTTAAAATTAGCACAAAAATTGGTATGATGGAATTAGTGAAATAGGGTAGGAAGGCAATGAATATAGAAAGGAATAATATATATATAAATTCATATGATTGGTATCTATAAGTTATAGGATTTGGATGGAATAAAAATATCATCTCATATTATTGTTATGTTCCAACAAGACACAATCTTAATGGAAAGCTCCAAAAGGTTCCAACAAGAAAATCTGTGCAACAAAAGCATGGAGCTTGTTACAGTAGGATAAAAATGAAAATCTTTAGAATGAAAATATCCACAAACGTGCAAAAGTTACCAACACGCATCGTAGTATTTGTCATTACATTCCCCCTTTAGATAACATATATCCCAAATAAATATAGAAAAGCATGCTTAACGTTGAAATGAAACGGAATATGAACCAGTATTTGGATCTTTGACAGCTTTGAAGTTGTCAACGCTCATTCCAAAACGGCCCAGAATGGAATTCCCCATCTCTTTCAATTTGCCTACAAACACACAGTAAACCGACTTTGCTTGAGGATCTCTAAAAAGACAAAACATTGCAGTTACAAAGTAATCTGTAGTGCATATATATCCAACAGCCAAGTGATGATAAAACATTACTACATGTTGCAAACCTATACAACGACTATCACATTACCTACTTCTAACAATTGCGTGTAGCAACGAAAAAGAGAATATGTATATGAAAGGGTGATTAGATTTGAGATGAAAATACATGGCAATAGTAAAGTGAAAATTGATAGTGAAAGAACACTGGATACCATAATGAGAAGTGTAATTCATGAAAAAATTCTAGAGAATCCATCTCTATATGCAAGCACTTGAGAGTACATCTCAGCTTCTAATTGCAATAATTTAAGCAGTCATATAAATCAAGTGCCAAGTATTCAAGCAAAGCTTAATGAAACTGGCATTATGATAAAAAGGAGGAGCCTAGATATTCCAATAAAAGCTCAAGGATCAAAAGCAGGATAAAACAATCAAGAACATGAAGTACATGCAGCGATAAGGAAACCTTTAGCTCACCAATCATCTCTTCTTTCATTTTCTCTCTCTTTTCATCAGCTAATGGCTTCAAACGAATGATACTTCTCCTTGCTGGGTCATTTGAGGGATCCAATTCTAAGATCTTAGTCATGTCTGCAAGTAAAGAAACACAAAAATCAGAAACAAGAAAAAAAAAAAACCCAAATCAGCAACAAGGATGAATCCGCCTTGTGAACTACAAAGACACCATGTGCTGATAAAAACAAAAATCCAAATTCAAGCACACACCCGTCCTAGGGAAAGTAATATCATAGTCACATAAGTTTGGTGCTAAAGAAAACGTAAATTATGGCTTGACAGCCAAAATTCAATTACAAATCTGGCTAGAAACAACTATTGTAGATTATTTCTTGCTACTATGAAGTAACTCTGGATGTGAAAATACCAGCAATT